TCCGTGCATCTCCCACTGAAATAAGTATTAGGTCGAACCGTAGAAGCTATCATGTGGTTCAAATTAAGGAGAGCAAAAGTTGAGATTTAGAGACAATGCCGGTCTTCCGTGTTTTGAAAGGCTTAACTTTAATCGAAAAGTGGTTGTTTTATTCTACTTGATTTTATTATTTATACGAAATAGCATTAACGAATTTAGTTTTAGCAAGTCTAACAAGTCTACCTTTTTTCATTTAAATTCCCTATAATTTCTCCACTCATTCCTTTTGAAATTCGCTATAATTGTGACATTCAGCCTTTATTTTCCTTGCAATTCCCTATAATTGTGGCCACTCACCCTTATTTCTCTTAAAGTTCTCTATAATTGCTTACAATAAAATAATTAGTTACAACATTTTATGACTTTATGACATAGTTTCTAAGTACAACTAGACTTAGTAATGAAGAAGATGATATTATCTTTGATTTAGTTATAATTATATTTGTTTTACAAAGTATTATATCCATAAAATATAATTATATATGTAATATATATTAAAATTTTAGGTCTCGTGAGGCTTCGCCTCACACCTCATGCCTAGGCGGGGCTACCTCAGATTTCTGAAATCTCTATAATTTGTGAAACTCCCACTATTCCTGACATCTGATCGTTGCCTCTAATTAAATTTGTATAAGTACTATTGTTTGATTTCTCCAGATGATTTTGGTGGTCCACCTCAGTATTTGCAACATAATTATGTTCCTCCACCACAAAAAGTAGAACTGTTTCCAAAGCCTACTCATCCCCCAGTACCATCTTCAAGTTCAACTAGTAGCAGCTTGGGCTCTGAGAAACCACCCTCAGTAGCATCATCTGGCTTTGCCTTTGGATCGTCACAAATCACATTTACATACGAAGAATTGGCGATGGCAACAAATGGTTTCTCCAATGTCAATCTCCTTGGTCAAGGAGGATTTGGATATGTTCATAAAGGAGTCCTACCAAATGGGAAAGTGGTTGCAATTAAGCAGCTGAAAGCTGGGAGTGGGCAAGGGGAGCGTGAATTCCAAGCAGAGATTGAAGTTATTAGTCGTGTCCATCATAGACATCTTGTTTCACTGGTTGGATACTGCATTAGTGGGGTCCAGAGGTTGCTTGTTTACGAGTTCGTTCCAAACAATACCCTGGAATTTCATCTGCATGGTAAGTATTTCGTTGGTTAATCTTCTGCTTTTCATATCAATGATTGGAATCTTATCAAATAGAAAAATTACAGGAAAGGGGAGACCAACTATGGATTGGCCAACTAGATTGAAAATCGCCCTAGGTTCTGCAAAAGGATTGGCATATCTCCATGAGGACTGTAAGCTTCTTTGCGTGCTAGCTTTTTTGTTGACAACCATAAAAAAAAATTCTGGTCTGTGTTGTTTGCTTTGGAATTCACCCACTCTTGAGCTATATCTCCAGGTCAACCCAAGATCATACACCGTGACATCAAGGCAGCTAATATTCTTCTTGATCATCACTTTGAGGCAAAGGTAGACTTGTTAGTCCTTATTTACAAAGGTAGAATTGCAAAAGTTGCATTGAAAAAAATGAATAGTATTGGGCTAGTATCATAACTATCTCGCCAAAACCTTGATTCTTTTCCTCCCTTCTGATTCTCCATGCCAAAGTAAAGGCATACATTTTACTTGAATGTTGGCTATGTGGATAACTTTGACTCAAACATTACAATCAGCTATGCTTATCATTTGACGAAGCAAATCCATCATTAAGACGGAACCGCCGAATATTTTTGTCAATTTGGTTTCAAGTTCTTCTAACATTGACTCAGTTTTGTATTGCATGTGATCTTTGTTCAGGTTGCAGATTTTGGACTTGCCAAGTTGTCTTTAGATACAGATACTCATGTTTCCACAAGGGTCATGGGAACTTTTGGGTAAGTTTAATTGTCTGCTTTACTTTTACTCATAGCTTTACTGGTTCCATGCTGTCTAGCTTGGAGTGAAATAAAAAACATCTATTGTTTAGGCTATAAACTTGTAATGGTTGATTTTCTAATATAGTTCCATTTCTTTCTCACAAACCTACCAAATGCAGTTACTTAGCTCCTGAATATGCATCTAGCGGAAAGCTCACTGAGAAGTCAGATGTATTTTCGTATGGGGTTGTACTTTTGGAGTTGATAACTGGACGCCAACCCATTGATAAAACTCAAACCTTCACTGATGATAGCATGGTCGAGTGGGTGTGTATACAATATTCTCACTGCCAATTTAACACCTGTACTTTACCATCATATTTTTGTAGAGAACAAAACTATTAAGCACACTTTTGTTTTGATCTGTTACCAAGTTCTGTTGTTCTGCTGGACATTTCTTTAGTATATGGCAATGGCCAAGTCTTCTGTGTGGCTAACTGTTCTTGTCTTCTTTTCTTCTTGTCTTCGCCTATTAGAATGGCATTTGTTTTTCATTAGAAAGCTTGAATGGCATGAAAAAACTGATAGATTATGCCATTGAATTTCAGGCGAGGCCTTTGCTTGCGCAAGCATTGGAAACAGGCAACTTTGATGCTCTTGTTGACGTAAGGTTGCAGAATGATTACAACACCAGTGAAATGGCCTCTATGCTTGCTTGCGCTGCTGCTTGCGTGCGTCATTCTGGCCGACGTCGGCCGCGAATGAGCCAGGTAATATTTCGAAGTTCTCAAGTTGATCCCTCAAAAGTAGTCTATTGCTCTGTTTATATAAATTCTTTATGTGAGTACGGAACTATTGAAATTCAAATACCAATTTGGTCCCTATATTTCCTAGTTACTCTCAACTTTACCAAACACTAATGGGAAAAATGCATTTTCCTTTTCCATTCCATGACCCAACGGAGCTTTAGACCTCCTGGTGGGAGGTTTTAACCCGAACTCCCGCAATGTTAAGTTATTGGTTTGATAAACCCAAGCAGACAGACAGTTCAAAGGTTGAACCAACCTAGTCATGTAAGATTTTGTGGCCGGTTACTTTAGATTTTCCTTTTCATTGATCTTTCCTATTACCTCGCACATGTTAAGGTTGTCAGTATACGTAATAATTCCAATTTGACTGTGTACTGATTTTCCTTTTTAAACCGATCCATGTAAACATTGTTCTGCATGTGCCATTTGATTCTTAATATTTGATTGAAATCAGGTGGTTCGAGCATTGGAAGGAAATCTTTCTCCTGATGAGTTAAATGAGGGAATTATACCGGGTCAAAGTACGGTATTCAGTTATGGAAGCTCAGAGTACAATGCTAGTGAGTACAAGGAAGATTTGAATAAATTCAGAAAACTAGCACTAGAAAGCCAAGAGCAAGGGACCAGTGAGAACAGTGGACCTAGCAGTGATTTTGGTCTGCTCCAGTCTACCTCAAGTGGTGAAGGCCAACAAACCACCCAAGAGCTGGAACTCGGGAAAATAAAGAAAAACACCCGAGATCTTGAGTGAAAGCCCTTGACAACTGATACCCAACAAAGAATCACACACCTGCTAACATGAAAAGACACCATTCTCTACGGTACATTTGATAGACTGAATGTACGAGTCTTCAGCTAGATTAATGATTTCTGCGGGAGCTGCATGCAGAGTTGTTTGAAGAATTCGAGTGTTTCTATACCGCCCAGGAGTTTGAATGAAATCAGACGCCTGGAATGTCGATATCAATACATCTTTCGTGGCCGTCCAACAATGTGTTCCAGATGGATTTAACAATGGAACAAAGTTTGACATTGTTTATTGAAGTTGGGAAGAATTAGGAGGAGGAATAATTCTGTATGTATTTTGGCGGATTTTTTCATTGTTATATTAAACTGTTGGTCATATATTTTACATTTCTTGAAGTTGTTGATGCCTTTTGTGTCTGTACAAGTTGTGTTATTTGCTTGTAAATTGTATATCAAATTCGATTGAGCAGGTTGCAGTCCAATACATTCATACATATATATATTGGCATGCATTCCCTTTAAGGAAAGATTTCCTTTTTTTTTTCTTCCGAAAAATGGAGATTAGTTGTTGGACTCACTCTACATAGAACTTCACGATCCGAACTGTCTAATTTTATAAATCTCGATGTATAGATCATTCTTGCAAAAATTTCAATTTAATCTGAAACTATATGCCTATTTAATTGTTACAATAAAATTTCAATGTTAGTGTTCATCAATTTCTAAGAACTCATTTAGATGCTTCAAATATTTTGAAAGATGATCTATGAGGTGCAACTTAAAAAATAGACCATTCATATCGTTGAAGTTTGATATGATATGAGCTTTACAAACAAGCTCAATTTTTTAATAAAAATGGAAATCCCTTCCTTTAAAGACTTTGTATGTCGGCCTTGAATGAGTCCTTATCAAAAGTGGAAAAAGAAAGAAGAAAGGAAATATCTCAATGAATGAAGTCTTATTATTCCCAACCAACAAAGAACGAAAGAAAGTTTGGTGGATTGACTCGATTACAAAAATGGGATATTCTCAAGTTTCCAATCCTTTTTATAGAATAACTACCCAGTAGTTATAGATGAATTTCAAGCTTATATTTCACACAGTACATTTTGGGTTAGATTTTTAGTTCTGGTGAATCGCACAAGATGGCCAGAAGAGGCCGAAATTCATCTGTGAATCTTCCCAACCTCCAAAAGGGTGGAATGTTGTGGCGAAACTATCTGATCATTTTTTTTTTTTAAAAGGAAAACTAATGAAAATGACTTGAAAACTTTGAGTTTTAACTATAAGGACAAAATAAAGGGTAGAGTAAATAGTATTAGAATTGACTTTTTAGTATAAAAATATGATTTTTCGTTAAAATGGATATTATCGGAAGTTTTTAGTTAAAATTCAAAAAAAAAAAAAAAAATCCTTTTTATAGAATGTCCAAACTTTGGAAGGACAAAAAAGTGTAAAATCAACAAAAAAGTTGGGGCACTTTAGGAATAATAAAAAGTTCAAAACTGTAGGAGTAGTGGGATCATTGTCCAGCCTGTCCGAGTTCAATTCGTAAGAAAGGGAAAACTAATCTCTGATTCCAAACGCCAATACCAGCTCCAGGAGGAATATTCCTCTCTCTCATATTTTCTTCCTTTTTTGTTACAAATCTCTCTGAAAGTTTCAAACACCAAATTCGAAGTTCGAAAATTGTCACTAATTATTTTATTTTTTTCTCTTCTGGGAAATTCTGATTTCGAATCTTCAATCCTGTGATCCATGGCTTCTCGTAGGCGCATGCTTCTGAAGGTCATTATCCTCGGTGACAGCGGGTAAGCTCGCTTTAAATATGAGAAAAATTGTTGAATTATTTTTCCATAATTTTCATAATTATTTGTTTGGTTGCTGAGAAAATGGAGGAATATGATGAAAGGACCCGGAAAAGTTCTAAATCTTGTGTCGTATTTTATAGAAATGGAAACCCAGCCTGATCAACTTGTTGCATGTTTTGATATATAAAGTTTTTTCTTTTATAAAAGTTCAAATTTCTGGTAATTTATGCAATTGTTTGTTAATTCTAAAAATGTGTTTCTGAACTGATATCTGTTTGCTTATTTATTTTGATTTGGCAGGGTGGGGAAGACGTCGCTGATGAATCAGTACTGTCCTCAACCTTAGATCATGGATTTTTTTTTTAATTATTGATAATATTCAAACTTTCTGAGATTTGGATTCATATATGGTGGTTTTGTAATTCATTGTTTGTATTTTGATTGTTGAACTGTAGGTATGTGAATCGCAAGTTTAGCAATCAGTACAAGGCGACAATTGGAGCCGATTTTCTGACCAAGGAGGTTCAGTTTGAGGATAGGTTGTTCACGCTGCAGGTTAGAGATCTCTGAGCATTCATATTCAAAGAAAGTAAAATGCTATATGAAGCAACGTTGAACAATCGTGATTGAACCCGTAACTCTGTTGCCTAGTTCGTTTAGCTGTCGTTAACTCGTTGTCACGTAGATTATGTATTCTTATACATTTTGTTTCTGATTGAAAAACCCATTTGTTACTCTTTTAAAAAAAATAGTTGCTTTCCTTCGTTTATGTTGTTGTTGTAAGATGTGGGTGCCGTTTATCTACTTTAATTTACCAAGGGTATAACAAATTCCATGTTGAAGATTCAGACTTTATATTTCTCAAGATCAAGAATGTTTTCTGGTGTATTCTGGACAGCTTATGATACTTGTATACACTGGCGGATCCATCAAGGGGCAAGGGGGGTCTGACCCCCCAAACTTGGATGAACGTTCGTAGATATCTTAGGTGCTGACCCTCCGATCTTTGATGAATGTCCATGGATACCTTGAGTGTTGCCCTTTTGAAGATTAGAGTTGGCTTCATACATGCCCTCCAACCGACTTCAGGCCTACCAAAACCCGATGAATGTCCATGAATACCTTGGGTGCTGCCCCTTGCATACATTAACATGTGTGTAGTATGCATTTCCAAATGACTTCAAGCCTACCAAGACTTGATGAAATGGTGATATGCATGCTATTTTTGGTATAAAAAAATTTGCGCGCTGCACGCGCTATTTTTACTGACCCCCCTAATATTATTTCCTGGATCCACCATTGCTTGTATAGACAGCTGAACATTGTGGGGGTCTAGAGTCAAGAGAAAAATTGCCGCTATTTCTGTCTTTGTTATAATGTTATTGATGCTGAAAAGTGTTACATAAATTTAGTAATGGCTGTGAAAGTTACTTAGATAAGTAGTAGTTTTGAAAATGAAAAAAGAATGGAAGGTGAAATCTATGCTTTATATCAGTTTCAGAAACTATTGCTTTCCATACACACACCAACTTATAATAGAAAGAAACATATTTTCTTCATGTTTGAGATTATCATCTATCTCATTTGTAGTATTGACACCCCTATCTATCACGCTCAACATGTAATGGGAAGTGATATGAAGCAACTATTGATGTGATTGTCATGAAATCATTTGTAAGAGAAAATGTCGATATACATGCACTTGCAAATTAGAAGGTTTACACCGTTTATTCCTGTGTACAGATTTGGGATACTGCTGGTCAAGAAAGGTTTCAGAGTCTTGGTGTGGCTTTCTATCGTGGTGCAGATTGCTGTGTCCTCGTGTATGATGTGAATGTCATGAAATCATTTGATAATCTTAACAACTGGAGGGAAGAATTTCTGATTCAGGTAATTACCATTTGATTATCTCTGTAGATAGTCACACATATGAAGTGTTGACTGATGGTTATGTTGTGTGTATTTGATGTTTAGGCCAGTCCATCTGACCCTGAGAACTTCCCATTTGTTGTGTTGGGAAACAAGATTGATGTTGATGGCGGAAATAGTCGAGTGGTAAGTTGTCTAGATTCTAGAATATGGAGGTTCTATGTTGTTGCTCTAGAATGTGTGTACATCAGCTGTTCCTCTCTTATAGTGTGTGCATATCCTTCTACTCTTTTGGCTGTAGGTGTCTGAAAAGAAAGCAAAGGCCTGGTGCGCTTCCAAGGGAAACATACCGTACTTTGAGACTTCTGCAAAAGAGGGCTTCAATGTGGATGATGCCTTCCAGTGCATAGCCAAAAACGCACTGAAGAATGAACCTGAAGAAGAAATGTAAGTATTTTTTGCGTAGCCTATTTATCATTTTGTTTTCCAGTCACTTTTCCCCAAAAGTTTTCTTTTTCAGCATTGAATTTAGGCCCTCTCCAATTATTTTAAGAAATATCTTATACATCTGGGACCCTAATTTGAGGTAATTATCTGAATAGGTGATGTTGATCAATTTAGAGTAATTGGACAACAAAATTTGTTTACCAGTCAATTAATTTCCATCAAATTGTGATGGTAGGTATAGATAGCAATTCTTCTTATTTATTCCTGTCCACAAAAAGTTGATATGTATACCTACTTTTATAGAGGAGGAGAAAGACCTCTTGGTTGTAGTTGCTTTTCATAATTAGTAATTAGTAATTACAGTCAAGTGGTATTCCCTCACCTTTTTAATAGGGGTTCTTGCATTCAACCCTTTGAGGTATGTGATTTATGTGGAGAGAGGCTACCTTATCGTTTAACACACTTTTGCCTAGTTAAGGGAGCATTTTTGCTTAATACCACCTTAACCCAAGGTGTATACTCACCACCTCCCTTCAATTTTAAGAGAACATACACCAAAGGAGTGTAAAACAGAACTTCTCTGTTAAAGTTTCGTATTCTCTGTTTCAAAATATTACGTCTGTGTGTGTGTAAACTGTAAAGAAAAGGAAACTGGTCTTAAAAGCTGGTTCCCTTGATCTCTATGGTTTCTGGACAAGAATCCTCTCCATTTTAACTTGAAATGGAGAAGAAGGGTCTTTGATATTAGCTGTCTAATCAATAGTGCGGTACATAAAAAATTATTGCGTAATGGTTCGGTATTGATTGCACAGCTATTATAAAAGAACCGGATATGTGTCCAACCAGAGAAAAACGTGTGTGGACCATTGTATAATGTCATCACACTGACTTAGTGCGTCTTACTACTCAAAGGAAGTCATTTGTTAGAAATAAAAGGAAGTTTTTCATTTCAAGTACTCACCATGTATTATTAATGCCTCTAATTACTACCACATCAGCACGATGACATTGTATGATGGTCATACACAAGTTTTACAAGTATAACATTTCTTGTTGGCAAATAAGATAGAACCCAGCTCTTGTTGACAAATAGGGTAAAAGTAAAATAGAGTATTATGGCTTCAGTTCCAGTTCTCCCCAAAACTCCAGAATTTAGGTTATAGCAATAATTTAACAAACACCACAAGCCAAAAAGAAAAACACACGACTCTTTATACTTCGTGAACTTATTATAAGCTTCTCTTCCTTTTTACCTTTTCCACATAATTTAAATGTTAAATTAGTAGGCGTTTCTACCGGGGTATTAATTGAATGCTTGTGGATTTTGTTTGTGGATGATGAAGATACCTTCCGGACACAATTGACGTTGCTGGCGGAGGGAGGCAGCAAAGATCTACTGGCTGTGAATGTTGAGGAGTTATCGAGTGGTTTTGCTCTTTGGATGGCAGAATGCAGTTCTTGTCAACGGAATTTGGTGATTTAAGACTCAGTAATCTTAAAAGTTGATGATTATAGGGAATGGTTACAAAGTTTTATTTGTATTAGAAGTGAATGGGAAGAGTCAATTGTTTACTTTGCATTGCTTTTGTTTATATTTAATGATTTTATTTCCCTTTTAATTTGTTTATCTGAACGTGTAGTGGTTCTTTACTTCTTTCATTTATTTTAGCTGTTTGAAATCAACAACATATTAGGCCACACTTTGCACTGCAGTTTCCATCTTGGTGAAGGCTGAAGTTGATGCTTGAAATGGTATAGCAAAACATCATTTGGTTCTTATATCATCATAGTGTTGACATAAGATCCTTTGTGGAAAAAATGATTGTTCAAGGTACAAGTAATTCCATGTTTACTCATGGTTGAAATATTTTCTCAATAGAGTGATGAAAATATACTTACATTTACCTTATATGGAATTGAAAGAACCCACCTACTTTTGACAAACATAGGTGCTCCTTATGGAATTATTTTGGAGGTATTTTGCATTAACAAGAGAGATTTTATGTGAGTCTGCACTAATCTATGCAAAAGAAGTCCCTAAGTTGGACGGAACCCAAATTTGTTCATGATTACTTATAATTGCACAAAGTGAGGAGTCTCAAAGGTGTAGCTGTAGACGTGTAAATTTCGTTGCAGACAAACTCATCACAAATGGACAAGTTATCAATGACATGTGGCACAAATCAAGCAGGGGAAGTATAAAATATTCCCAAAATTCGACTAAAGGGAGAAAACTCCTTTAAATTAGGCAAAACGGCCCAAATTGCTCTCAAAATTAGAAAGAAAGTTAAAACATCTTCATAAAACAAGCAAGAATTGAAGATTGCTCACAAAATAGGCAACAAGGCCTCATAATTTTAGCCAAAGGAGTAAAGTGGCTGAAATTAAGACACAATACATGCCTAAATTCTCCCATGGACGAATCAAGACACAAATCAAGTTCAAATCCATCCAATGGCAAGCCTTAAGAAGCCTATAAATACAAGGTCCTCCCACAAGCATAAGGGAGAAAAAATCTCTACACAGAAGAACCTCTGCCAAACCATTGAAGACTAATACACTACCAAAGCTCTTTTTGAAGAACACTCAACCAAAGCCAAAGCTTTTTCTTGACCAAAGCTGAAGTACTTCCTTGAAGAATCAACAAGCGCTCGTGTCGATTCCTTTAAGACTTTGTTGCAAGCTTATAAACTTGTAGAAATGTTCGTTTCAAGATCAAGTCGCCAAGACCCTTGAAGTAATGAAATCTTGCATCAAACACTACCTTTGCCGCAACTTTGAGGTGAAGACCATCCACGCGTTGTTTTCAAGCTTAAAACTTGAAGCAATCATTCAACCGTTCGTCTGAGATCAAGTTATCGCGTCCCTTGGATCAACAATCAACCATCTACATCAAAATTGAAGACTGAATCAAAGGAAAAGTTGTAAATAGTGATTGTAACCTACAAATTCAAATCAATACAAATTTACTTTGTACACGTGTTCTTGTTTTATTCGATATAGAATTTTCGTGTTTACAAATTTGACATGCCCAACGGGACATCTCTGCCTCTTATCTCTGTCTTCAAATCCGCAAAAAGCACAAATGGCATTAAGAAGGGATCAAGTTATTCCCGCTACCAATGCAAAGAACAAGGGCATCCTTGCTGCAAGTGGTGGCACTTTGGGTGTCACAACCCAAAGCAAGGCAATAACTATCTCTGTTGTGCTTTCCACCCCTCCATCAACTTTGCCAAAGGAGCAAGAGCACCCGAGGCACGAGCGTGTGATTACCTTGGCCTCACTAAGGGCACTAAGGGAAGAAAGTCTGATGAAGTACTCTGAGTCTTTGACTTTTGATGTCGACTCAAGCAGCTTGTGTCCTGTAGCCATGCAAGTCATGACTACTGGTGTGACTTCCATCGAGGAGCAGCTGGCTCAAATGAATGAAGTAATTGTATGGCTAACAAGGACCGTGGAAGAGAACGACTTGTAAATTGCTACATTTGTCAACAATTTGGAGGCGCATCACGACAACAAAGCTGAGCTGAAGATTGATCCACCATAGGAAGAAATCGACGAAAAGGAAGAACTTCTGGTGGAGAAAGTGGAGGAGAAGCTGGACTAAGCGACAACATTCATGGGATCTCTCTCTATCCAGCAGAAGATGATCAGTAATACTGTCAAGGCGCAGTGCCAAGGAAGCTCACATGACTCTGTACTGTACTCAAAGCTCTACTCCAAGAAGATTGACACCTTGAGGATGCCAAAGGGTTATCAGCCACCAAAGTTCATGCAATTCGACGGAAAGGGCAATCCTAAACAATATATTGCCCATTTCATTGAAACAAGCAACAATGCTGGGACATAGGGAGATTACCTTGTTAAGCAGTTCATGCGCTAGCTGAAAGGTAATGCCTTTTACTGGTACACCGCCCTCGAGCCTGAATCCATCAACAACTGGGATCAGTTTGAAAGGGAATTCCTTAACCACTTCTACAACACTCGCCGCACCGTAAGCATGTTGGAGCTGATGAGTACGAAACAATGGAAGGATGAACTGGTCGTCAACTACATCAACATATGGTGTTCATTAAGTCTAGATTACAAGGATCAGCTTTTTGAAACCTCCACCATTGAGATGTGCGTTCAAGGCATGCATTAGGGCCTACACTACATCCTCCAAGGCATAAAGTCGATGACATTTGAGGAATTGGCAACTCGTTCCCACGACATGGAGTTGAGTATCGCCAACCATAGAAAAAAGAAGCCAATCACCAACTTTAAGAAGGACAAGGTGTTCACTCCGAAGGTAGACAAGACTGGGAAGAAGCCCACAAAGGAAGCTTTTACCATCAACACTACCCCCATCAAGATCTTTTCCAAGAACAAAGCGAAGGAGATAAAAAGAGGTAAGCTTTCTTGCACCCAAGATAGGTAAAAAACACCTTGAGGGAGCTGGAACAAAAGACGTACCCTTTTTCGAACTCTGATGTGGCCGTAATGCTAGACAACCTGTTGGAGAAAAGAGTGATCGAGCTACCTAAATGCAAGCTCCCTAAAGAGATGAATTGCGTTAATGATCCTAGGTATAGCAAATACCATCGTATCATGAGGCATCCTGTTGGCAAGTGCTTCGTCCTCAAGGAGCTCATCATGAAGCTGACACAACAAGGGCAAATTAAACTCGATCTTGAAGACATAGCTGCAATAGACACTACTGCAATTATGTTTGGTTTGTTCAATCTTGTACCTTTCTAAGTAACACATGCTCATTCCCGTCCATGCTCAAGCTACATGACACCTTTTACACAACCATCGTTGGGGGCAAGTGACCAAAATACACATACCAATAATGAAGAGGGGTGGACACTGGTGACCTACAAAAAGACAAGGAAGCCAAAACCACAAGCTACAAAGACAAATGTCGAACAAGCGAGAAAGCACCACCGTCGTAACAATAGGAAGCCCAAAAGAAACATAAGAGCTGCTAAGTCGACATACACTGGGGAACCTATGGAGTAAAAGCCACGCATTCCTATCTCCTTGCACGAGTACTTTCTGAAGGATTTCTTCCAATAGTGCACTACCGCTGCCTACCACATGGTTGAAGCAGAGATAAAGAGCCTTCAAAAGGCAAAGTTATCGCCATCGAGGAAGAGAAAACTCCTACGCCTAGAGAAATCTTGGCATCATACTTTAGCATCCAAGAGGCGTTGTGGTTGCCCAAAAAGATGCGAAGAGCACTAATAGTAGCCTTAGCGAGTCCCAATGTCCACAAAGTGCAAGAAAGCAAGGACGAAGACCTAAATCTTCGACCACACATGCTTTGCCACCCATGACGCAATCAACTTCACTGACGAAGACTTATTGCTAGGATCAAAGCCTTACAACCATTTTCTCTTCATCTCTAGGTACAAGTCGAAATGACAAAGAGCAATGGGCATGGTTCGAGTCAAAACGACCATTGGTGAATTCAAGTCAAGCACGCTATCCCACATGATTACAACAACAACAATAACAACAAAGCCTTTTCCCACTAAGTGGGGTCGGCTATATGAATCCTAGAACGCCATTGCGCTCGGTTTTGTGTCATGTCCTCCGTTAGATCCAAGTACTCTAAGTCTTTTCTTAGGGTCTCTTCCAAAGTTTTCCTAGGTCTTCCTCTACCCCTTCGGTCCCGAACCTCTGTTCCGTAGTCACATCTTCGAACCGGAGCGTCAATAGGCCTTCTTTGCACATGTCCAAACCACCGTAACCAATTTTCTCTCATCTTTCCTTCAACTTCGGCTACTCCTACTTTACCTCGGATATCCTCATTCACAATCTTATCCTTTCTCGTGTGCCCACACATCCCACGAAGCATCCTTATCTCCGCTACACCCATTTTGTGTACGTGTTGATGCTTCACCGCCCAACATTCTGTGCCATACAACATCGCTGGCCTTATTGCCGTCCTATAAAATTTTCCCTTGAGCTTCAGTGATCTACGACGGTCACACAACACGCCGGATGCACTCTTACACTTCATCCATCCAGCTTGTATTCTATGGTTGAGATCTCCATCTAATTTTCCGTTCTCTTGCAAGATAGATCCTAGGTAGCGAAAACGGTGGCTTTTGTGATCTTCGCTAGATTGCTCCGGTCATTAATGTGGATAAGTATATAAATGGATAGAGATAGGAAAGCAAACGCCAGATGTACGTGGTTCACCCATATTGGCTACGTCCACGAAATAGAGGAGTTCTCATTAATTGTGAGGGTTTACACAAGTACATAGGTTCAAGCTCTCTTTTAGTGAGTACAAGTGAATGATTTAATACAAATGACATTAGGAAATATTGTGGGAGAATGATCTCGTAATCACGAAACTTCTAAGTTCCGGAGTGTGGTATCGTCTTGACTTGCCTTATTTGTCTCGTAGGTAGATGTGGCATCTTCTCTGTAAGTACTCTTCCTCCATCCATGTGTGGTATCTTTAACTGGTGGAGATGCACAAGGTAATGTATCAATTTCACTTGAAGCTTACTTGTAGTTTCAGGCTTGGTCAAGCGCGATACAAACCATGTAGTAAGAGTCCTCTAAGTCGCCGAGCTAGGGGATCTGCTGAAAGAGGTGACAGACAAGGTAAGCAATCAGAGCTCCAAGCAATCCGTCCCAGATCAGAACTTTGATTTCGA